GAGACAGAGATACAGAGAGACAGGACTGAGAGAAAGAGTGAGAGAGGGAGAAAGAGAGAGATTGAAAAGACAGGATTGAGAGAGAGAGACAGAGAGAGATACGAGTGAGAGAGAGAGACAGACAGAGAGACAGGAGTAAGAGCGAGAGACAGACAGACAAAGTCAGGAATGAGAAAGAGAGACAGAAAAACAGAGAGAGAAAGGACTGAGAAAGAGAGAGGAGTGAGAGAGAGAGACAGAGAGAGAAACAGATAGAAAGGAGTGAGAGAGAGAGACAGACAGACAAAGACAGGACTGAGAGAGAGAGAGACAGACACAGAGAAGCTCAAATCCAGCCATCCAAACAGCCTGGTCAATTCCAGCCATTATTTGTAAGCACCAGGCCGAGCGTCTCGCTGTTACAAGTGTGTTTTACGGTCATGTGCAGATGTGCGAGTCCCGAGAGGGCGTTTGTTTTATTCACCATCTGCCGGAGTGAGGCCCCTGGACAGCATGTTGATGGAGGGGCTGGAGTGCAGAGAGCGGATGTAGTCCATGTACGGGTGGATGTAGGGGTGCGGAGGGTGGAAGGGAGACTCCGCCCCCACCGACGGGTTCCGCTGGGGCGAGATCCGGATGAGGGAGATGTCGGAGAAGGCCGGACTCCCCGCCAGCGATGGAGGCCTGCAGATACACACACACGCACAGACACACACACACACACGCACACACACACATACACACACACACACACACACACACACATACACACACACACACACACACGCAGAGAGAGAGAAGACATGGAGGGAATGAGTTGGACATTATTCTACAACTGCTGTCATTGCGCTTCAAGACGGGCTTATGAAACATGCTGCAAGGAAAGGAAAACAGTAGGTACATTTTTAAGACCAGAGACCAGACATTTTTAACAGAAGAAAACTTATAAAAAACAATATTAGTGTGTTTGTAATGAAAGAACAAGGATGTAAGTCTGACAGAGCTAGGTTTATTACTCGATTACAAGTTGGGAGTCACTGGATTTGTTCATAGCAATCACTACAGATCAGTTCAGTTCAGCAGCAGACATGGAATAACACCAAACACAAAGGAGGCGTTGGTCTCATGGTGTGGATTTGACACTGACTTTTCTTTGGATTTTGAGATTTTTTTTTTTCTTCATTAAATCATTATTTTATGCATTCCTGGTTTTTGGGTCCTGAGAAACCAGTCAAACACGGCAAGGGGAAAAAGTGAGAAAAAACAGGGATCTGCTCATTCCACTTGGAGCATCCGGAACATTCCTTATGAAGCACATCGTTCACATGCCCTAAACCGAGCAGCGCCTGCCGAGATCCGGGTCAGGAGAGTGACCTGTGCATATCTGGATCAAACACCGAGTTAATCAGAGACGATAGACTCGTTACTGCACGGACTCCATAAAAACATGTTCTGCATCTCACAGGACACTCCATCAACAACAGGCAGAAGGTGGTTTTACACTTGATGTCTGGGCTCTGAAGGTACAAGCTCACGGAAAACAAGAGAGAGAGAGAGAGAGAGAGAGACAGGAGTGAGAGACAGAGAGAGAGACAGTAGTGAGAGAGAGAGAGAGACTGTAATGAAAGAGAGAGAGAGAGGGAAAGACAGAGACCGGAGTGAGAGAGAGAGAGAGACGGACAGAGACAGGAGTGAGAGAGAGAGAAAAGAGAGAAAGACAGAGACAGGAGAGACAGAAAGAGAGAGAGAGAAAGACAGACAGAGACAGAAGGGAGAGAGATAGACAGAGACAGGAATGAGAGACAGAGACAGGAGTGAGAGAGAGAGACAGGAGTGAGAGAGAGAGAGAGAGACAGAGACAGGAATGAGAGACAGAGACAGGAGTGAGAGAGAGAGACAGAGACAGGAGTGAGAGAGAGAGACAGGAGTGAGAGAGAGAGAGAGAGACAGGAGTGAGAGAGAGACAGACAGAGAGAGAGGAGTGAGAGAGGAGTGAGAGAGAGAGAGATCTTTATTTGTGTCTCTTTTTACCAACAATACAACATGTTCTGCTGTGACCTCTGCATCTGCTCTTATTTAAGTATTTCACTGCAAAATATGATCAAATTTGATGTATCTTTTAAAAACAAGATGATTTTGCTTTGTCCAGTTGAAGAATCTAGTTTTAAGGCTCAGTCAGAATGTGCGCAGATTAAAACACATTTTGCCAAATTTGAGCCATTTTTCACTTATTTTGTATCACGCTCTTCCAGACTTCACTCTAGTCTTGCAAAAACGTTTCGCTAAGTAAGTTCTTCTCAAGTTGTGCGCCTCAAGCAGCGAGTCCATCCCCTCCATGCTCCTTATCTGCACCTTTTCAGACCGATCACTTTGCAAAACTCCAGAACAATCAGCGGAAACTTCTTAGGAGCCGGGTTAAGAATCCTCCCTTTTTTATAATTGGCTCTGAAACTTCATAATGATGGCCTTAACCACAAAGGCCTTCCCTGGAGGACGTGTTGAAATCCACATATCAGCCAGACATTAGCGAGCGGAGAGATTAGGAAGTATTAGCCTCTGTACTTCTCCGTGACTGCCCCAGCGGACCGGTCAGGCCGCGACAAAGCAAACCCAGGAGGAGACGGAGGGTTGGAGGGAGAGGAGAGATGGGGTTGGCCTGGACGTAACCTTGAGCTGTAGGCCAGGCGAGCGGAACAGCCCAATTATGACCTCAGCCTGTCCCCCCGGTCTCTCCCCCCGGTCTCTCCCCCTGGTCTCTCCCATCTCTCCACACTGGTTTAATGAAAGAGCTCAGGCCCGGTCAGTAATGAGAGCAGAGCGGAGGCAGAGCACCTACGTTACAGAGAGAGGGGGGAATAAAGTTTGGTAATTAACACAAAAGGGGTTAAGGGACGAGAGCCAGGGTTTCAGAGTGTGACAAATGTCTGGGTGAGGAGAGAAGCGGCGGTGTTCTCAAAAGATGGAGGAGTTTAGACTAAAAAACAGAAATATAAACTCGCTCACAGATAGAGTCATAAGTTGTTCAGAATTCCAATGAAGTCAGTAATTAATCGGTTTGACAGTTAACGTGTACACTCTGTCCACATGTGTCCTTTAACTTGCACTGGAGACGCAGTACTTATAAATCAGATATAGCCTTTATTTGTCCTACAGTGAGGAAATTTCAGTGTTGCAGCGCACTCAGACAGTGACTAAGAGCACACAAGGAGCACAGCACATATACACATGGATATAAGATTAAGTTTGGTTTTGGCTTCAGTGCAAAAAGCCAGAGATTTTTCAAATTTGGCAAAATGTGTCTTGTGACTGAGCCTTAAAACTAGATTTGCCAATCAGACAAAGATACAAGAAATGTCTCTCTTGGAATGAGAAAATAAAGCAACAGTTCTTGAAATAATGTCTTTATCGCATTGGAAAATCTGGTTTGAAACAAAAAACACAAGTAATTATTACCACTGGGGACTTTCGCACGTGTATTCCAACGTGGTGTTACTGCAAAGGGCAAAACAAACTGAATCTGAGTCACAGCACGAGTCACGCTAACTCTCCAAAGTGTGTCATGACTTTGAGCACGTCTTTCCGTGAGAACCTCGGCCCTCGTTACGATCGGACGGCTGCGATCCAGGCACTTCAAACGCCTGAGTGTGTTTCAGTGGAGCGGGTCAGATGCCCGGATGCCCTGGTTATCATGGGCCCTCATCACAACACACCTGCAGCGCGGCGCTTTGAAGGTGAGCTCACACTGTTGCCTAAACTTAACGCTGACGACGACAGAGGATAGGAATGACTGGTGTTATGATCCGCTGCTCCGGCCTGGTTCACATCCTCCACAGATTAGACAGGAACACGGAGAATACGCATATTTTCAAAGGCTGTCGTCACAGTCATTAAGTACACTGCAAAAAATGATAAAATATGAGGTAATAAAGGCTTGAATCTTGTGTTTTTTATCTTAATTTGAGCAGTAATAAAACCAGATTCTCCAATGGGACAAAGACATTTAGGAGCCAGAGAGGAGCCAGAGGGGAGACAGAGAGGAATCAGAGAGGAGCCAGAGAGGAGCCAGAGGGGAGACAGAGAGGAATCAGAGAGGAGCCAGAGAGGAGACAGAGAGGAGACAGAGAGGAATCAGAGAGGAGCCAGAGAGGAGCCAGAGGGGAGACAGAGAGGAATCAGAGAGGAGCCAGAGAGGAGACAGTGAGGAGACAGAGAGGATACAGAGAGGAGACAGAGAGGAGACAGAGAGGAGCCAGTGAGGAGACAGAGAGGAGACAGAGAGGATACAGAGAGGAGACAGAGAGGAGCCAGTGAGGAGACAGAGAGGAGACAGAGAGGATACAGAGAGGAGACAGAGAGGAGACAGAGAGGAGACAGAGAGGAGACAGCGAGGAGACAGAGAGGATACAGTGAGGAGACAGAGAGGAGACAGAGAGGAGTCAGAGAGGAGCCAGAGAGGAGCCAGAGAGGGGACAGAGAGGAGACAGAGAGGAGACAGAGAGGAGTCAGAGAGGAGCCAGAGAGGAGCCAGAGAGGGGACAGAGAGGAGACAGAGAGGATACAGAGAGGAGTCAGAGAGGAGCCAGTGAGGAGACAGAGAGGAGACAGAGAGGATACAGAGAGGAGTCAGAGAGGAGCCAGAGAGGAGTCAGAGAGGAGACAGAGAGGAGACAGAGAGGAGCCAGTGAGAAGACAGAGAGGAGACAGAGAGGATACAGAGAGGAGACAGAGAGGAGCCAGTGAGGAGACAGAGAGGAATCAGAGAGGAGCCAGAGAGGAGCCAGAGGGGAGACAGAGAGGAATCAGAGAGGAGCCAGAGAGGAGACAGTGAGGAGAGAGAGAAGAGACAGAGAGGGGACAGAGAGGAGACAGAGAGGAGACAGAGAGGATACAGAGAGGAGTCAGAGAGGAGACAGAGAGGAGACAGAGAGGAGCCAGTGAGGAGACAGAGAGGAGACAGAGAGGATACAGAGAGGAGACAGAGAGGAGACAGAGAGGAGACAGAGAGGAGACAGAGAGGAGACAGAGAGGAGACAGAGAGGATACAGTGAGGAGACAGAGAGGAGCCAGTGAGGAGACAGAGAGGAGACAGAGAGGATACAGAGAGGAGACAGAGAGGAGCCAGTGAGGAGACAGAGAGGAGACAGAGAGGAGACAGAGAGGAGACAGAGAGGAGACAGAGAGGAGACAGAGAGGAGACAGAGAGGAGACAGAGAGGAGACAGAGAGGATACAGTGAGGAGACAGAGAGGATACAGAGAGGAGACAGAGAGGAGACAGAGAGAAGACAGAGAGGAGACAGCGAGGAGACAGAGAGGATACAGTGAGGAGACAGAGAGGAGTCAGAGAGGAGCCAGAGAGGAGCCAGAGAGGGGACAGAGAGGAGACAGAGAGGATACAGAGAGGAGTCAGAGAGGAGACAGAGAGGAGACAGAGAGGAGTCAGAGAGGAGCCAGAGAGGAGCCAGAGAGGGGACAGAGAGGAGACAGAGAGGATACAGAGAGGAGACAGAGAGGGGACAGAGAGGATACAGAGAGGAGCCAGAGAGGAGACAGAGAGGAGACAGAGAGGAGACAGAGAGGAGACAGAGAGGAGACAGAGAGGAGCCAGTGAGGAGACAGAGAGGAGACAGAGAGGAGCCAGAGAGGAGCCAGAGAGGAGTCAGAGAGGAGACAGAGAGGAGACAGAGAGGAGACAGAGAGGAGTCAGAGAGGAGCCAGTGAGGAGCCAGAGAGGAGCCAGAGAGGAGTCAGAGAGGAGACAGAGTGGAGACAGAGAGGAGACAGAGAGGAGACAGAGAGGAGTCAGAGAGGAGCCAGTGAGGAGACAGAGAGGAGACAGAGAGGAGACAGAGAGGAGACAGAGAGGAGCCAGAGAGGAGCCAGAGAGGAGCCAGAGAGGAGTCAGAGAGGAGACAGAGAGGAGACAGAGAGGAGTCAGAGAGGAGACAGAGAGGAGTCAGAGAGGAGCCACAGAAGAGCCAGGCCCTGGTGTTGGCCGCCTCCTCTCTGATTAACCCTGTCGTGCTCTGGCTGCTCCTCCACACTCCGGCCCTGGCCTCCTGCCTCCTCTTGGCTTGTTTTTCCAAAGCAGCTGAAATGTGGTGGATGCCAAAGAAAAGAATGGAAAAGTGAACAGAAAACTGGGTTTGGGCAGCGATAGAATATCACATCTTACTGGACTTTTTGTCAATGCACCTGTCTCAGATATTATTGATGGTTTAGTTTATACATTTTAAACCCTTGATAATTACTAATGGGATTGTCTGTGTGTGTGTGTGTGTGTGCGTGTGTGTGTAAGTGTGTGTCTGTCGGCAAAGACAAATGTAGTATATGTGGTTCCACTTTCACAAAACCACTCAAGACATTAACCAATAATGACTACTGTTTTGAACACACAAGCACACACTCACACATGCGCACACACACACACACGCACGCACAGACAGACAAATAGACAATAAACAGTAAATAGACACAGAGAAACAGACACATATACACACAAACACACACACACATAGACACACACACACACATTCTCACAGTCAGAACACTTCCCTGGGTCTCTGTGATAGATGCTTTCTGGCAGAAGCTCGGACGATCAGCCGTCTCCAGCTCTGGCCTCTCAAACATCCATCTCCCACTCGTCCTCCTCACATCGCCTCACACCTGGCCTCCCTCCTCTCCCCCTCCCCCCTCACCCCCCACCTGCCTCCCCCCTGCTCGGCTCTCCCCCGCTGGTTCCTATCTGCTCCTCCTACAACTGTTGCACACATGCGGGCAACATTATTAGCTACACCTGTGCTCTCGGGTCAAACACACATGACGAACTGGCAGCTCTGAGACAGTTTGGCCTCTTTTACTCTCTCTGGAGCAGAAGAGACGTTTACACCGTTTTAGTTTAGCCCTCACCAAATAAGTGCTAAATCTGGTTCAGTAGCTATCAATATTTATTAAGAATTTATTTTTTTACATGGCCTTAATGATGGCTCTCTCTCTTTCTCCATTGGTCTAAATATTCCTGTAAATTTTGCCATTATTATAATCATTATTATTGATGGGGAGTCCTGGCCTCAGAGAGAGATGGACCTATATGTTCATGTTTTTAGTGATAGGGGAAACTGGAGCGCTTGGAGGAAACCTACGCAGACACAGAGAGAACATGCAAACTCCACTCAGAAAGGAGGTGGAATGGAACCCAGGACCTTCTTACTGACAAGTGACAAGAGAGAGAGAGGGAGAGAGAGAGAAAGAGAGAAAGAGAGGGAGAGAGAGAAAGAGAGAGAGAGACAGGAGTGAGTGAGAGAGAGACAGAGAGATATACGTGATTGAGAGAGAGAGAGTGAGAGAGAGAGAGAAATGGAGAGACAGCAGAGAGACCAAAAAGCAGAAAGAGAGAGAGAGAACAGAGAGAGACAGGAGTGAGTGTGAGAGAGAGAGCGAGAGACAGGAATGAGTGTGTGTGTGAGAGAGAGAGAGACAGGAATGAGTGTGTGTGAGAGAGAGAGAGAGAGAGACAGGAATGAGTGTGTGTGTGAGAGAGAGAGAGAGAGACAGGAATGAGTGTGTGTGTGTGAGAGAGAGAGAGAGAGACAGGAATGAGTGTGTGTGTGAGAGAGAGAGAGAGACAGGAATGAGTGTGTGTGTGTGAGAGAGAGAGAGACAGGAATGAGTGAGAAAGAGAGAAAGAGAGACAGAGATAGAGAGAGAACAGAGAGAGACAGGAGTGAGTGAGAGAGAGAGAGAGCCCCGCCCCTTGGCTTTTCTAATCTCTTAAAAACGTGTGTGACATCACCTTAACATTGGTCTTAATAAAGAAACTGAAATCTTAACCACAGACATGAGTTTTCCTCTAACTCCACAGATATTACATTTTTGTCGTGTGTCTTACTCGGACTTAGCTGATTTACAGAAGATTTACATCAAAGCGATACCACAGGGTCCTAAAGCCCGTCCCTCTCGTAGTGGAAAAAACCCCTTTCCTCCTCTCTTTGTCTTGGCCTGGCGGGTTTTTACAAGTCGCAATAACCCTCAAAGAAGACAGAGAGGATCCACATCTGGAAGACATTTCCCGTCACGTGGCCCGGGCTAAACACGCCAGCTAGCATACCACCGCTACGGCTACACGGGTTCAACATTATCTCAACGAAAATACACCTCGTTTACGTATCCCAGAATGCTTTGAGGGTTTGGACGGAGGTTAAGACAACAGTAATTACTTATTCTGGTGCAGTGGAAGATGTACACTGCAAAAAGTGATGAGAAAAAAGTCAGAAATGTCTCAAATTTGGCAAAATGGATCTTAATTTGAGCAGATTCTAACAGCCCTAAAACTAGATTCTTCAATGGGAGAAAGAAAAATAATATTGTTTTAAAAAGATAAGATAAGATAAGATAAGATAAGACAAACCTTTATTAGTCTCACAGTGGAGAAATTTCAGGATACAGACATGTCTCTCTTGGAATGAGAAAATAAAAACTAAATTTCTCATTGGAGAATCTTGTTGAAACACAGTCAGAATGAACTAAAATGAAGATAAAAACCACTGGATTCAAGCTATTATTACAACATATTTTAGCATTTTTTACAGTGTATTTGTGTACAGCCCTAAATCACAACAGTAGTTATCTCAGAGAACTTAACAAACTGTTGATTTGCCAACACAGATCAGAGAATCAAACTGTTAAAACACAGGAAATACAATGATAACAATAGATTTAGGACTTGCTTCTTTGTTATGCTATAGTGAGAGATTCTAGTATGTTTTAGCAAAGTTATTGTTCATTTATCTTTATCCTCATTCCTACTGTTCTGTATCTTGGGTGATGCAACACTGACATTTCCCCACTGTGGGACGAGCAGGGGAGCTCTTCATTGGTCCATAAAGGGCAGATGTCCAATGTCCAAAAAAGGTTATAATTGTTGATAAATGTCATTGAACCATCACTTAGACCCTGCTGCTCACGGCCCTGAATACTTTTAAGTGCGAGGGTTTGATTCCCCGTTTGGACCGAGGTTAAATCAACACTAATGACTTATTTTGGGGGAAGCGTTTGTGGCGAAGGAGGAGGTTTGGTTGTGGTTCCGGCTGGTTCTGACACTGCCCTTTGATAAAACAGTAGTTAGACTCTGCGCAAACACTGAGGGCTGGAGGCAGAGAGCGCCAAAAACAAATATATGAAGCAATGTTACGGGTTTACAGGAGGATTTTCCCAAGTTTTAGGAAAGAACCGCCCTCTCCACTTTTTGAACAAAAGTCTCTGGTCTCATTGGACGAGCACGTATCACCAGAATGATTGACAGTTGGGAGGACCAATAGTCTTGATGATCCACCCGGAAGTAGAAATATCTTCCTGGATGGATACAACTTCTGTTATGACGAGGGCTGGGAATGGGCAAAAATGTGAGGATTCGATAGTATCGCGATATTTGGGCCACAACTCAATATTATCGCGATTCTTAACATATTGCGATACAGACAGTTTGATTTTTGATTCTGTGATATATTGCGATTCATGTCTCTCATATTTTTAAAAGAGTCACGACAAGCAGACGTCATAGAGTCACAAAAATCTCAGAGAAAGTATCGCAATATTTGGGCCACAATTGAATATTATTGGAAGTGGAATCTTAATGATAAAGTACAGTCCTGTTTAGATATGGATCCTGTGCCTGCATGAGTCCTTGATAATATTACAATTACACAAATGTGGCATAAAGTAGTTTCTATATCATTTATCTCTTTGAGTATAAGTTTTAATAAATTGCCCCTATTTTCTCTTTATTGTGACAGGCCTGAACAAAACACAACATTGATTTTTGTGGCATCAGCCGAACGATATACAGCCTCAAACATGAACTGAATGTACAGTTTCCTCCTGAGTCCCCGGTCTTTCCCTAAAGTTGAAGATATCTGAGTGTGAATCCAATGAAACCCGTGTGTTGCCGTTGTGGTCTGGAGGTGCTGATTGAGGTGGGACCGCCTGTCAGGGACTTGAACCACACTCCCTTCTGCTCTAACCCGTCAACATCGCCTCCATCTCGCCACCTTCCGCCGCCAAACCCACGGTGAGCGCCTTAACCGGAGAGAGGGCTCCTGACAGCGGAAACACAGTCACTTTAAAGCTCCCCCGGCCCTTTCACTCAGATCAAAGAGCCGAGGAACAGAGAGGGAGACCCAGGGAGACGAGAGCCCAGACAGACGCCGCCGCAGCCGCAGCAGCCGCCCAGACGGAGATACGCTTTGACACACTTCATGGGGGAAGAAGAAGACTATGAAACACTTCCGAGCAGAGGACGGTGGGAGAGAGGGGTCAATCTGAGCAGAAATTACAAGACAAATTGAGAGACAGTAGAAAGAGGAGACCAGACCTGAGCTGACTTATAGTACTGCGGTAAACAGGGCATTTTTAAGATAAAACTTTAGATTAAGAGCTATTTTATTTGTCCAATAGTGGGTAAATGTCAGTGTTGCATCGCTAGATACCACCGGTTGATTTTTATTATGTTAAAGTTAGAGATTTTATACTTGCTTCTTTATTAGACTTGTTCTTATATGCAAGATTGATATTGAAGCATTTACAGCTAGCAAAGAAACATAGCATCTATATATACTGTATATTTCATGTGCTCCCTGTGTCTCTTTCTACTGTCCTCTAAGTGCGCTGCAACAATGGAATTTCCCCACTGTGGGATGAATAAAGTATGTACCTGTGCTGCCTGTGTCTGTGGTCGAAGTAACCGAGATTTTGGTTCTGCAAGAGGAATGTTGCCAGGCTTGCAGGACAAATATGCCCCCCTGGCGTTCTGAGGGCACAGTGTGACCCCCGCACATCAAAGGGGGGGTGTGTGGGGGGGTCAGGTGGTGGGGGAGGCTCTATTCATGGGCACAGTGGCAGGATTCCCCCTCTGCGGGAGACTGGAGGCGTGCCACACATTCCTAAAGAACTGCCTTCCATCGTGTTTTCGTCTCGCTTAACACTGGGTTTTGTTGCTGCACATTTTTCAGTCGTTTCTACATCTTTACTGTAAAACTACAACATTCTCCAGAAGATTAAAAGTCTTTTCTAACTATTCCTGTGTCTGTGTCAGTGGCAGCCTTTCTTAACACTAGGACTATAAGTATTTCGTAGGTTATATATTCTTCTCTTTCATACAAAACTGGTGAAAACAGCAAAACTAAATGCAAACCATAACAAGTAAACAGTGTGTTGCTATTGTACAGTATGCTATGCTAAGCTAAGGTTGATCTGAACCTGTCCAGGACCAGTCTAGGATGTCTAGGACCAGTCTAGTGGTGCATTCAAACGCTCACCAGACGCGCATTCTCTAGTTTTAAGACACCAGAGGACTTCACACCAGAACGTCCTGACGCGAGCCGGAAGTACCGGAAGTAGCCGGCCGGCTCTGATGCTAACAGAGCTATGCTAGCGGCTTCTTGTGTACAGATCTTCTCCAGTATGCAGCTTTGCAGCGTGTCTTTGAACAGAGACCTTCCACGGGCTTTATATAACAGCAGTATGTGTTCACGGAGGTGACTTTATATAACAGCAGTATGTGTTCACGGAGGTGAGCCATACGTTTTTTCATATTATTAAACGGAATTTCCGCATCGGTGAACACACTCGAAGCAGTTGCATAAGGTCACGGGAGCATGACAACGCATATTTTCACAAGCACAGAGTCCCCCATTGTCAGCCCTGGTTTGAGTTCTGGTGAAGTCTGGTGTGGGTCCTGTTTTGGCTGTTTACAGTATTTTCAGTCTGCTCGCTCAGTCCGCTAATGTCCCCGTGACCACTTTGCTGCTCTCTGATTGGTTGTCGCACAAAAGTCCCAAGGAAAGGATGAGCAGAATTTATCTCCTGTGGGCGTCCATTTTTTGCTCCTGCTCCTCCCTTTTCACTTTCCCGCCAAGTCCGTGCGTCATTATTGAACAGTCCGTTCGTCTAGTCTAGGACCTGTACAGGACCAGGCCAGGACCAATCTAGGACCATTTTTAGGATTGAGCTAATTTCATAAACATGAACTTCACTTAGTATCAGTAACAGTAATACATAAGTAACCTGTCTAATCGATCTAGACGTTCCTGAAAGATTTCTAGTTTGCCCTTATTTTTGGAATCATTTTTAAGTAAAGAGAGTATGCCAAATAATTGAATAATAATCAATAGCATGAGCAGTAAAACCTGTCTGTCAGCGGCTGCAGTGCGACTGGGGAAAAGCTGAACTTTAAATGCAAGACCTCAAAAAACACAAAGTGAAAGAGTCCGATTGTTTTAGTGCAGTAGATTTGGAGAAGCCACAAATTACTTCCTCTGTCTGTGATCTGATAAAACATGTTTATGCTTCTCTGGCAGCGACCGAGGCCCGGCCCCCGTCCAAACAAACAGGTGTCAGGGGTCACCAGCTCGCTCCGATCCTTCAAACACCAAGAAGAGAAACCAGAGATCCTTTGACAATGTGCGAACGCTTTCTGTAAAGTTTGTGTTGGCACCACAGAGCAGCGGGGGGGAGGCGAGGGGGGAGAGGGCTGGCTCTGCTTCCATACTACATGACGAGGGCTGGGAATCGGCAAAAATTTGAGGATTCGATAGTATCGCGATTCTTAACATATTGCGATACAGACAGTATGCGATTTGATTCTGTGATATATTGCGATTCATGTCTTTCATATTATTAAAGCTGCACTAACTGACTTTATTTTCGTATTTATTACGAAAATGCTATCCATGTCCATGTAGTGCACCGCTTCCCGGTTCTATCGTTCTATGGTCACGCCATCCACGTGCAAATCCATATCCATGCAGTGCATTGGGATAAACGTCCTTTTGAAGAAAAAGTAGAGCAGATTTGTGCTGGCGTGACATTATATTTTAGATCGAGTTTTGATGAAACAAGGAAGAGAATGTGTTTCGGGTCGCAGATTGTGACCAATCACAGCGGACCACTGGCCCCCACTTTCGTGAGAAATCTACAGGTCCGTTAGCATAGACAGCTGAGTTAGCACAACAAGCAGCGGAGCTAACCTGTAATCTTAGTAAGTAAGTAATCTTTATTTTATATACCGCCTTTTTCACTGCACATTGGAGTCTCAAAGCGGTTTACAATTGTTATTATTTTTGGGCACTTGTCTCTCACTCCACACAGAGATGGGAGTGGGGTCGCCAGTACAGGAGGCGCATGCCAGACCTATTGTACATATTTTTAGTGGTAGGGGAAACCGGAGTACCCGGAGGAAACCTACGCAGACACGGGGAGAACATGCAAACTCCACTCAGAAAGGCCCTGGTCCAACCAGGATTCGAACTCAGGACCTTCTCGCTGAGAGGCGAGAGTGCTATCCACTTAGCCACCGTGCCGCCCAGACGAGGAACCTGAAGCTTCCTCGTCTTCGTCACCGGTTTCTGCTTACACAGCGAGACAGCCATCCAAAAGAAAGTCCCGTTCCTCCGCGCTTCCCGGTTTTATCGTTCTATGGTCACGCCATCCACGTGCAAATCCATATCCATGTATTATCCATATTGGGAGACGCTAGCTCCGTCAACAACAGTGGGTGTGTGTGGGGGGCGATAGCTTCGTGGGTGCGGGGAGGGGAGCAGAAAGAGTGAGGCCAGCGAGTCCGTGGCTTCAAAATCCCAGTCAGTTAGTGCAGCTTTAAAAGAGTCACTACAAGCAGACGTCATAGAGTCACATAAAACCTCAGAGAAAGTATTGCGATATTTGGGCCACAATTCAATATTATCGGAAGTGGAATCTTAATGAAAAAGTAAAGTCCTGTTTAGCTATGGATCCACCAGCTCGCTCCGATCCTTCAGACACCGAGAAGAGAAACCAGAGATCCTTTGACAATGTGCGAACGCTTTCTGTAAAGTTTGTGTTGGCACCACAGAGCAGCGGGGGGGAGGTGAGGGGGGAGAGGGGGGAGACGAGGGGGGGGGCTGGCTCTGCTTCCAGTCTGTTTCCAAAACCCTTTTTCACACTGTAATCAAATGTAATTTTAGCGCGGCGGAGATAAGCGCGTCTATACTGAAATGTGTCATTAGCGGCAATAGCAACAACATTAAACATGAAAGTAAATGACACAGAATGAGCTGCGTTTCTTCTCCTTGTTTTTCAGGCAAGAAGAAAGAAAATCTGTGTTTTTTTCTTGTTTTGTGCTTGATTTTGAGAACAGAGGGGTTTGGGTAAAAGCCTTTATCGCAGGAATAAAGGCTGTTAGTTTTTTGGTCAAAGTGGAAGCAACTAAAAAGCTGCTTTGCGTCAGTTAGAGGTGAGTTCCTGTAGCATGCTCCAGGCTACGATGCAGAGACAGGAGGGGACTCTCTGGGGCTGAGGAGCTACACTTTCTCTGGTCTCTCGCTGGTCTCTATCCCTGATCTAATTCTGGTCTCTCTCTCAGATCTCTGTCTCATTCTGGTCTCCCGCTGGTCTCTCTTTCTGGTCTGACACTGGCCTCTCTCTGGTCTCTCAGACTGGCCTCTCTCTGGTCTCTCTCCCTCTCTCTGGTCTCTCTCTCTGATCTGATTCTGGTCTCTCTCTCAGATCTCTATCTCATTCTGGTCTAGCCTCTCTCTGGTCTATATCTGGTCTCACTCTGGTCTCTCTCTGGTCTCTCTTTCTGGTCTCTCACACTGGCCTCTCTCTGGTCTCTCTCTCTCTCTAGTCTCTCTCTGGCCTCTCTCCCTCTCTCTGGTCTCTTTCTGGTCTAACTCTGGTCTCTCTCTGGCCTCTATCCCTCTCTCTGGTCTCGTTCTGGTCCCTAAGCCTAACCGGTAATGAGCAGGCTGCCTCAGGTGAAGGGAGCGAGGATCTGTGTGGCCTTAGGGTTAGTCCGCAACACACTGCACACGCACGTTTCACAAACAACACAGCAACCAGAGGAGACCAGAGGACGCCAGAGGTGGCCAGAGGAGACCAGAGGAGACCAGGGAAGACCAGAGGAGACATCGGAGTCAGAAATACACCACAGAAATCTCCCCTCCTGAGCAGAATGTATCTGGGATTTTCTACAAACACACACCAGAAGACATGGGACAAGGAGAAAGTGGGAGCGGAACAGCCTACTTTACTCCGGCCCATTCATCCATCTTGTTGGACTAATAAAATGTCAAGTAGAGTTCCTTGATATTTAATCATGAAGGCGATGGTGGTGCCGAGCGCGGGCCCTGACCAAGCACTGGGAGGTTTACAAACAGAGGGAGATTTGGTCTAAACCCAAAGGAGGAGCTTTGACAATGCTGCGATATCAG